TAGTTTAGGTTGATAATGAGAAGGTTGAAGGTTTAGAAGTGGAATCTGAGAAGAAAATGAATATAAGATATGTTCACTACATAATCTTTGTAACTGGTTAGATTTGTGGGATGAGGGAGAAACACCAGATATCTGGTCGGTGACATCTGGATGGATGCTGTTGCTGCTCAGAAAGATAGAATTTATGGGAAGAAGAAACAGTTTTTTTCAGGTGCTGAGGTGGAAGTTGGAGCAGGGGGTTTAAGAGAGACATCTAGCCCTAACCGGTTTGGATCAGTGGATAGAGTGTAGCCCTGTGGACTGAAAGGTCCCAGGTTCGATTCCGGTCAAGGGCATGTACCTTGGTTGCGGGCACATCCCCAGTAGGAGGTGTGCAGGAGGCAGCTGATCGATGTTTCTCTCTCATCGATGTTTCTAACTCTCTATCCCTCTCCTTTCTCTCTGTAAAAAATCAATAAAATATATTTTTTAAAAAAGAGAGACATCTATTTTTAATATCTTGAATTTAAGGTGTCTTTTAAATATCTAGGTTAAGAAGTTCTATAGTTTAGGATATAGGTAAAGAACAGGAATATAATTTAGGAGTCTTCATAGTTTAGAAAGTTGAAACCATGGAATTGAGAGACTGCCCAGGAAGATTTTATTGAGAAGTGAGGTCAAGGGATATTCTAGGTGGTCTTGGAAGAAGAATCAGCATTCTCTCCTGTCTCTGCTTTTCTATGCACTAGGCCAGTGATGGCGAACCTATGACACGCGTATCAGAGGTGACACGTGAACTCATTTTTTTGGTTGATTTTTCTTTGTTAAATGGCATTTAAATATATAAAATAAATATCAAAAATATAAGTTTTTGTTTTACTATGGTTGCAAATATCAAAAAATTTCTATATGTGACACGGCACCAGAGTTAAGTTGGGGTTTTTCAAAATGCTGACACATCGAGCTCAAAAGGTTCGCCATCACTGCTAGGCTCTGTATTCACAGACTGGTGTCTATTTTGGTAAGTAAAGGCTATTGAGAAAGAGAAAAAAATATTTGTCGAGAGATTAATTTTAAAAGTAACAAGTATTAAGTGCTGCAGTGTATTCAGTGTATTGAAGACTTTTGACTCTCTTTCCCAACTCACAGATTGCCTTCAGGAATAGAGATATTAAATTGTCCATCTTAACCTATATCATCTCTATCCAAGTCCGCACAATCTAGCACTTTTTTCCCCCCATGGGGTCAATTCAGAAAAAATAACTATGTTTACAATTGTGTAGTTCCCATGTAGGTATCAAGGTATCTGATCAGAGTAGGGGTTATTTTTAAAGCAAGAAGATAAAGACTCTTCTTCACACAGATAATTCTTGACAAATAGAAGGAAATCTGAGTCTGAATACTTCCATTTATACAGGTTACTATTGAAGATGTTGGCTAGGTCTATGTATGAAGTAAGGCTGCAGTGGTTAGGGGGACCCTGATATATGTGTTGTCAATAAACATTGATAGTGAAACTTCCCAGCAACACAGGGTGCCTATGAGAATAAGATGTTACAGTTTCAAATGAGGAGCCATGAAATAGGTCTAATTATATCTAAGGCTGCAAATAGTTCTTGGGTGATTTCTTGAGTTTAGGAATGAAAATATCAGTTATATATATTTTAAAACACTTCTTTGGAACTACTTAAAAAAATGACAACACTCCATTGTCTTCTTCCTTATGTGTAAAAATATTTTTTAACATATTGTATACTTATTTATAAGTTGATTTATTTATACTTATGTATGATATATACATGAGTCCACTCTTATTTATCTTAGGAAATTAAAATAGTATATGGCAAATTTGACATTGTTTACTGATACCTCGCATGCTACAGGACTGATTTTTAGAAACAGTTAGGATTTGGAAAGGTCATACTGACTAGAATTCAGAAAGCCAGGACAAATTACATTGGCTTTTATGATGGACTAGAGGCCTGGTGCATGAAATTCGTGCACTGTGTGTGTGTGTGTGTGTGTGTGTGTGTGTGTGTATGTGTATGTGTGTGCGCGCGCGCGCCTCAGCTCAGCCTGCACCCTCTCCAATCTGGGATCTCTCTCACAATCCAGAACTGCTGTCTCCCAATCGCTTGCCTGCCTGCTTGCCTGATTGCCCCTAACTTCTTCTGCCTGCCAGCCTGATTATCACCTTAACCACTCCCCTGCCAGCCTGATCGACACCTAACTGCTCCCCTGCCAGCCCGATCGCCCCCAACAGCCCTCCCCTGCTGGCCTGGTCACCCCCAGCTGCCCTGCCCTGCAGGCCTGGTTGCCCCCAACTTCCCTCCCCTGTAGGCCTGGTTGCCCCCAACTGAGGGTCGCCCCCAACTGCCCTCCCCTGCCGGCCCGGTCACCCCTAACTGTCCTCCCCTGCAGGCCTGGTTGCCCACAACTGGCCTTCCCTGCAGGCCATCTTGTGGTGGCCATCTTGTGGCCACATAGGGGTGGCCATCTTGTGTGTTGGAGTGATGGTCAATTTGCATACTGGTCGTGGCTAGTTAGCATATTCCTCTCATTATATAGGATTACTTTGATCAAGCTCTTTTGACTGAAGCAGAATAAAATGTTGAATTTAAGCATATGCAGGGTACATAGGGCCATAGTGAGAAGGGGGAGAGGTTGAATATTTGAAAATTGTGGTAGAAGAAATCTCAGTGACCACAGATTAATTTCATTTGGCCCAATAAGAAATGTACCCAAGATAGTTTGAGTTGAGGTGTATGAGTATAACAAAGTATGAATAATAATTTCAGTGTTCTTTAATTTTTACAGTAGTAAATTTGCTGTTTTGTACATCTTTAAAGTATATCCAGAATTTGACTACTTTTTACTATCTCAATCAGTGTCACCTCTCGCGTATCCACCACATATCTTGCTTATGTTATTGCAATAGCCTCCTAAATATTGCTGCCTGTTGAAATCACCTGAAGATTTTAAAACTTCTTATGCCTGGATCTTACTGGCATTTATTCTGATTTAAAGAATGGGCATCAGGATTTTTTTAAGTTTCTAATATGCACGGCTCCAAATAATCAGAAAATCAATACTCTTTTCCTGAAATAGTCCTTTTATTTTTATTTGTTTTAAATAGTCCCTTTATTTTTACTATATTTTTCTGCAAGTAGTGATGGTCTTTTAATTTGGGACATTTCTACTTCTTAAAATTATTAAGTCCTAAGTGTAACCATTAGGGCTCTTAGTTGTGAGCAATGAAATCTGACTCTGGCAGATATAAATAGAAATGAAATTGAGCGGTTCACAGTATTTGTAGAAGGCTGGATGGAGCCAGCCTTAGAAAAAGTACAGGAACAAAGAGAGGCTAAGCAGCTAGAGTCACAGCACAACATGCCAGCGAGATCATTACTGCTGTCTCTGCTGAACAGTGACTGGGTGCCTCAGATTGCACTCCTGGTTGCACTGGCCCCTTCATGCAACCACTGGTTCTGCTGCCATCACTGCTCTTGGAAAGTACATGTCATCTCCACTGTGGCCATTGTCAGAAAGAATTGTCTCTTGTCTCTTTGCTTTTCTGTGCCACTAGTTCCCATATGATAGTGTGTGAGTGAGATAAGTGTGGGCTGCCAGAACATGTGGAAAAGCAAGCACACATCTGGCATTTTCCTTTTTTAATAGTGGAACATAGCCTCTATCTTGCATCAAAACTTGTGAAGTTGTGAATTCTTCAAATAAAAGCAAGGGTTTTATATGGTTGGAAGCCAACAAATAGCAAAGGTCTACACATAGTGTAGTCAACAATGTGTTATTTATTTTATGCATTAATTCACTGGTTCTCAGACTAAGAACCCATAAGACATGGTGTTCTTCCATAATTATTTTTATACATTTAGAGCATGGTACCACTTGTTCTTTAGCAAGTAGTAAGAGGTAACAAAATAGATGAGCAAGTAGCAAGCAAATTAATAGGGAAACTTGGACATATAAGTATTTGTGTATTATTTTTAGAGGAGTGGAGACCAGAATAAGTAGAAAATAGACATGCTTCTTTTTATTTTATTTTATCTTATTTTCTCTTTTAATCTTTATTGTTGAAAGTATTACATAGGTCCTCCTTTTTCCCCCATGGCATGTTTCTTGGTAGTTAAAATATCCTGAGTTTCTATGATGGAAGCTGTATATCAATATTTATGTTAACATTGTCCAATAGAAATATAATGTGGACCACAAGTATAATCCATAGATACAATTTTAAATTGAATTTAAAAAGTAAAAACACCATTCATTTTAATAATATATATTATTTAACCCAGTGTGTTCAAAATAATGTCCCTTCAACATTCAATATAAATATTTAAGGGATAGTTTACATTTTTTATCACACTAAGTCTTCAAAAATCTAGTGTGTTTTAAACTTAGAGCACAGCTTATTTCAGACTAACCACATACAATGTGCTTAATAGTCACATGTAATCAATGGCTACCATATTGGACATCACAGTTCTGTGGCATTGCATAAAATGCCATCTGATCTCCAAGTACTAAACATACTTATGATGTAGTGTTTTAGACATTTTGTGAAAACTGAATGGGTGTTTAAAAAAATGTAACCTAAAAGTAATAAGTGCTTGGTTATCCATTCTCTTCTAATTCAAAACAGTTTTACTTGATATTGCAGTGTTTTGCTATTTTTATGGTGGGGAAGAAGATGTGAAATGGGGAAGAGAAACATAATTTTGTTTTTCTTTATTATTTTTTATTTTCTGAACATCGAAATTCGTAAGTAATTAGGGTATTCCAGATGTGCCTTAAGGCAGAGAAAGCAACATGCTGTAGTGCAGAGCTTGCATGTGAATAATTAAATTAATCATATTTTATTACATTTTATCGAAGTTTTCAAAATAAAAATATAATAGTGACTGAGTCTGTACTCGAGAGTTTATCTATCATATATGATTTTTTCCCCTAGATAATTCATGTTGAAAGTAAGTCTTGTGTTCTAATTATTTTTATTCTTGCAGGCTGCTGAATCAGGAATAATAAAAGTTAAAACAATAGCTGCACGAAACACCGAAATTTTGGCAGGTAATTTTTTGTATTAAAAATTCAATAATCAATGAAAAATTGACTAATAGAAGTAGAATCTTAAAAAACAAACAGTTTTTGTAGCACAAAGTTCCTAACTTATTAACTAACTGGGTTTCTCAGAGATGAATGCTATAAAATCCTCTGAAGTAAAATATATAAAATTATTAACTCCTTAAAGGCAAGATTTTTCTTACTCATCTTTTCATTCTCCTCTACCTTTTGTCAATAACCTAAGACACACCTTACCTATCCAATTAATATTTGTTGTATTGAATTGAATGTTAGATTGGCTCTCAGTCCACCTTCTAAGGTCTATTTTATCTTTAATATAAACAAGTCATAATGTAGTGTTATAATAAACCTAGTAATACTAAATGAGTTTTCAGTCCTGTGACTAAGGCATTATAGTCATGAAGAAAGAATGGGAGTGGGGTGGAGGAAAGAAAACAAGTGTTTTCTTACATTCTCATGATTGAACCTGGTGTTCAAGAAGAGCTTTGAAGAGGTTTTTTGGGGGCACCATTTTGATATAGTCTACTTCTTTTTCTTTGGTGCCTTTCTGTTCTTACATCAGTAATGAACATGGAAAAGAAGGAAACTGGTATTTTTGAAAATTTGTTACATGTCAACTTTTTGTGCCACTCTGTCTTATATAAGACAGTCTTGTGGGGAAATATTTTTATTTTATAGTAGAGCAAGTTGAGATGTAAAGAGAGTAAGTTACTTGCCTATGATCACATGATAAGTGATGGAAACAGATTCAAACCCAGGGTTATTCAGAGCCACCACATTCTTTCTGCTGCAGTGCCATGGTGTTGCGAGGTTTCCATACCAGCTACCCCTCCCCCATGTTTCTACTTAATCATTGCTTACTTCACTGATCCTTCCTTCAATCTGCTTTTCCAGTTCCAATAATGCTTTTGGTCTCAGCTAGTTATAGGAGAAAAGCAGTCCTATTAAGTTAATTTACACAAAGTCTAAATACTAGTAAGAATCTCTAACTCTCATAAATCTCTACTTTTTTAAAAAAAATATATTTTATTGATTTTTTACAGAGAGGAAGGGAGAGGGAGAGAGAGTTAGAAACATCGATGAGATTGAAACATCGATCGGCTGCCTCCTGCACACCTCCTACTGGGGATGTGCCTGCAGCCAAGGTACATGCTCTTGACCGGAATCGAACCTGGGACCCTTCAGTCTACAGGCCGACGCTCTATCCACTGAGCCAAACCGGTCAGGGCTAAATCTCTACATTTTTAAAAAAGGATACCAAATACATCTCTAATTGGTGGAATTTCAGAGTATTACCAAATGAAATGAAGACTTTTGGGGGCAGTTTAAGAATGGGAAGTGAGAGTGGGTTTCACATAGGCTTTCCAGCTTTGCTGCAAATTTGCCCTTAGGGTTAGCTCTCCTAAGTTACATCTGTTTCTCACAGCCTCTTCTCTGATTTTGAACATTCTGTCAAAACATCAAATAGTTTTACAACATTATTCACAGCATTGAATAATGCTCAGTGTGCATGTTGAGAAGGGGTGAAATGAAGGGAAAAGGCAAAGGTATGTATTGTTGGATTCAGTAGATTTTAGGAGATGCATGTTGGGTAGATTAGTTATTGTGAGAAAATTAATGATTAAAGATAAATTATAATCTGGATATTTTTAAGTTGGAGACATGATAGACCAATCATATTAGAACATCATTATACATATTTACTTTTGCTACTGTCATTGCTGATATTATGGTAAGTTCTTAATTATTCTCCAATAATAAAAGTTTACATTGGGTCTGTAGTTGATGGAAGATATTTTAAAAAGACTGATTTCTTTAGAGGGTCATTACCTGTTATAGAGTTGTATACCAAGTAAAATATCTAATTAGTTAATCCTTAAGGATGAGTAATAAAAATTTTCTCAGTCAGTATGAGTTTAGTATATAGGTAAGCTATTAATTTCATTCTAAAGCACTTAGCTTTATCTAAATCAAGGTAGAACAAATCTTTATGCACATACAATTAATCATTCATGCTTTAATATTCATAGTATCTAAAGCCACGTACCTGAGGAGCTATTTAAAATTTTTCCTGGTGTTTTGTTTTGTTTGTTTTTTACCAAGTATTTATAACAATTGATACTTAAAATTTTATAGATTTTTTAGACGACTGTCATCTTGAAAAAAATTAAAGGCTCTTAAGAACAAAAGAGTTTAAATTCGTCAATATGTAGTTTCTAAACTACTTAGTTCAGAGTACAGTTAATACTGAGAAAAAAATTTAGTTGATTTTTTTTTTTAAATTTCCTGAGGAATGTTTGCTTCTCTATAGTGCTAGGGACTATAGGTTACTATGTTTGTGCTGTAATGGATGTTAAAGATACATAATTGAGGCATCTTAAATGAGGTGAGATACTGAATTCTCAGAGATCTTTGCATATTCAGAAAACATAATGGGTTGCTATAAAAATCAGAACCTTGAGTTAAGATCAGTCTGATTAATGATACCCAGTATAAATTTCTAGCCAAATTTAGTTTTCTTAGATTTATTTTCCAAGGGAAGGTTATTTACATTGCAGAATAAATCTTTGTTTTACATCTCCCCTTCTTTTAAGCATCCTCCTTTAATGTTTATTTTTCTTTGTTTTCACTGCTGTCATGAATGCTGACATAAGTGGGAATGCTTTGCCAGGTAATGTCAGCATTGATTCAGATATACAGATCATTTTCTCAAAATTTCCTTTTTCTTTTAAAAACAAAACTGTTAATGAGAGATAGCAACATAAAATTTTTCATTTACAAGGCCAAATGCCTTAATCTTATATTTGATTACCATATGTTACAAATTGTTTTTATTATCCCATCTTAAGATATACTTGAAATTGACTGAGAAAGTTTATGCTGTTCAAAAAGTACATAACAGAGAATCTGCTTTTTGAATAAATATTTGAACAAGAAATCAATGAAGTTGTGATGCCTTTTAAAACTGTATATTTAACGCCTACACAAAACTATACGATTACATCTACCCATAGCTGCTTTCAGCTACTGTCAGATACTTGTAGAATTTTACACAGATAATTATTATGTATGATTTGTGTTCTTTTCCTCACATAGATTCCCTACCTTTTTCATTTCTACATGATCTTATTACTAAAAGGTCTCTAATTTAAGTAATTTGAGTAAATATACTTTGTAATTTTTCCCCAACATTAAAAAGTAAATTATCTTCTGATTTTATTTAGTATATTGTCTTATCAATACATATACTTGTGATATTTCATAAACATTTATAGACTATATCATACAACATATTCTTAGTAGGAATAATTATGTAAGAATCACCAGGTGTGATACAAAGACAGTTAATATAATTTACCTATAATATATATGGAAATATAAGAAATATATTTGAGTATATTTGAGCCATGCTGTTTAGCTTACTTGCCTTTTGAAGTCCTTTGCCAGAAATTTTCCCTTCCAGATGACATACTCCCTGTGAGGTCAGGATCAATATCTTACTCCTCCTTATATTGCTAGTAGGTAGTACATTATTTGTGAAGTAGTAAGCCCTCATTAAATGCAGATATGTGTCTAGTATGTTTTTCTACTTTTCTTTAATTTTCCATTATGATGATTTGAGTACATTTTGTCTTATTTAATTCATGTCAGCCAGATAACAGAGTAATGAAGGAGACAGACCCTAAGTAGAGAATTCTAATACTATGTGGTAAATGCCAAGATGGAAGTATAGATAGGCTTGTTATGGAAACATAGGGAAGGCACCTAATCCATCCTGGGAATCTGAAGGTGAGTCTTGAAGCCTGAAAAAGAGATAGCTAGGCAAATAAGTTATAGAAGAGGAAAGTAAAGGAGATTACTTATATACATGAGGTATAAAACATCTTGGTCTATTTAGTTACACTATTCAGGTATTACCATTGTGTGATATCCTGAGCAGCTTGATGGAAAGAGTTTGAATCAGGGAAGTGACACATTAATATTTTTATGTAAATTACTCTGACAGCAATTCGGAAGATACATTTCAATGTACCATCAGTAAGGCAGAGGTCTGTTGGTGGGCTATTCCTATAATCCAGGCCAGAAGACACAGGGGGCTGTAACTAATGTCATGCTCACAATTTGAGCTAATGGGCCAGAGTTTCTTTACAATACAGTGTGTTCTTATTTATTATATTTCCTTGGGTTTGGGTTTTTTTTTTCTTTGAAAAATTTTAATTTTTATCCTGCTTTTTATTATATTATAAATACTTTTCTTTGATGCCATCTTTTGTCATTTTTTTTAAGTTGCTCTATAATTTAGTAAGTAATTATAGCTTATTTAACCATTCCTTTATGGTAGGCGTGTTTTAGTATTTAGAATTTTTTAAAGATTAATTTCTAGAAATGAAATTAATAATCTAAAGGGTATGAACATGTTCTTGGAATTTGTCACCACACTGCTTTCTACAAAGATAAAACTTGATGCATTTACCAGTATATGTGAGTATCTTTAAAACATCCTTGCCAGATTATTATTTTTAAAAAATCTTTTTGGTAATTGAACAGGCAGATGACTTCTCATTTTAATTGACATTTCTCTTTAATATTACACATTTTTCTCTGAATATATTCTATTTTATTTTACATTTATTTTGAGTTTTTGTATCTTCCTTATCAAATTTTTGAGGTATTTATATAGCAAAACTATTAAATTCCCATCATGTGTATATTTTCTGCAAGTCATTTACCTTTTAATTTTTTAATTAGATCCTTTTTATTTTTACATAATCTAATTTTCTAATTTGTTGCTCTCTGTTTAGGAAGCTCTTCTCCTACCACATAGTTTTTATTTTTTTCTAGTTTTTCTGCAGTTTGATTTTTTTCTTAATAATATACGGGATGACATAAGGACCTAGATTTGATTTTCTTTTGCAAAATTACTAATTGTACCTACATCATTTGTTGAATAATCCTTCCTTTTTTCAATAATGTACTTTTAATAT